TCTTGCCTATGAGTAGATGTATAGTGAAATCTTCGTCTGAGTACGTATGTGAGTACTCAGTCATTTTATATACTCATGAATTTTTGAGAGTACTCGCTCGAGTAATCTGAGTACTCATGCCGGCAAGTCGTACTCTCTGAATGAGTACATTCACTAGGGAAATTATCAAATTGATATTATGACAATAACATCAAATTCGAACACCAAAACCATTATTTTGAGTAGCACTTTTGATATTTGCTCCATTATTAGTTGTTATAGATCGAAGCTTGTATCGAATTTCCAATCGATCGATTTCATAATTAATGTATCTTCTAATTTGAACAGCATCATGCGGGCCCATAAATTGTCGAAAACCAATAACGAGTGAGGTATATTTATAATCTTTTTCATAAAAATGAGCAGTTAAAACAATGAAATATGATTAGCGAGAATTTTGCCAAATATCAGTTGTTAGCGAAATATCATTTAATTTCATCAGTATACATTTTAATTCTTTTCGATATTTATTTTATAACAGACGTAAACGTCTAGCAACTGTTTTTCTGTGGGGTCCAACGTAGCCTGGATTTGCTACCGAAAGAAATTTCTTCATTCCCTCTCGGCGAAAATCGCCGAAAGGGCGTCCATCCTTTATAATGCATTCGATGGCAGCGTTGTGTAATTTTTTTTTTGTTCGAGCGATATAGATTGTTTCTTCACGTGATTGTTACTTTTTTGAGATTCAAATAAATATTGTTCCATTTTATGAGTTTTACCAATATGTTTTCTTAAATTTGCATCAACACGGTTATATGCTCTGTATGTCTAAATGAATAAAAAATACTATTAAAAGAGATATTTAAACACAGTAAATCAGGAAGTGACATATTTTTTTTATTTGAGAAGCTATGCAAACATTTTCTTAATATGTAAAAGACATTTTTCAGTCTGTCAAAATCAAAATTAAAGCTGTTTTTCTGTTCTTCTTTATTAGAAAGTTTTCATCTGATAAAAAACAATCAAGCATTTAAATAAAGAAACATACATTTGAGCAAAGACGACATTGATGAGTATCATCAGCAACATGTGTAAAAAAAGTTCACACATTATCACGAGATGTTGTAGACCAGCTTCGATTTCCTCCTGAGCTTTCATTATCACTTCGTTCAATACCATCTTCAATATCATTTTGGTGTGATAAATGATCAGGACTTATTGATGATTGTGGTTGTTCAGAAGATAAATTATTTTGTTGTATATCTACATTTATAGTACCATTATCATTTCTACAAGTAGTAATAACTTTATTTATGTCAATGTAATTATTTGTAATAATTCGATTTTGAGAACGACCACGTTCAGGTTTTTGAATAGAACTAGAAGATGATAAGATTGATAAAACGGATCGTCGTCGTTGAAGAGAGGAAGTTCTTCTCTCTTTACTGTTCAAATTTTCTTTGTTTTTTGAGTTCGATCTTAACATTTTGGAACAACTAGAAGAGTTGTTGTTTTTCTCTATTTTGATAATAAAATATTTATAACAAAATACTATTTTTCTAGTGAACGAATAAACTTTCAATGAAAACAATTTTTTCTAGTGTAGCAATAGTCAACGTCAAAAATAGCAGCTGTGTTGGCTAAGGAGAATAGGAACAAGGAATGAACAGACAGAATCGAATCCAATGCTCTAATATATTGTTTTTCTCTATACATTCAGCGCTTCTGAGATAACATCTATGAAATAATATTTCAACAAAAAAAAATATTTATACACCAATATCTTATCTGTTCTTCCTATTTATGTTATATTGCATTTATTGTTTTATTATTACTTTATTACAGTAATAATTATTACTTATTATTACTAATTACTTTTATTACTTTCAAGGTTTTATTACTTTATTACTGGTAACAAATAATAAAGTAATAATTATTATTACCAATTACTGAGTAATAGTAATGTGCCACCCCTAAAGAAGATGTTTATTACTTTTGTATGTTATCTATTCAAATCTCGTGTTTCAATACTAGAATTCAACAAAAAAAAAGGAAATAACTTCAATGCTTTTATAAAACAAAGTGTTTTTAATAAATACTTATTGAATATAGATATATAAATGATTCTTTTTAAAATGCGGAAAAAAATGAAAAATAAAGATTTTTCGCTTATATACACATGTTCTGTCACATATCAATTAAATTACTAGATAAATAAAATCACAGACAATATA